CATGTTCCCCTTTTTCCTGGAGGGGGGCGCCGACTTGCGACAGTCGGCAAATCTGAATTGTATCGTCAATCTTACTGCAGGAATTAGGCAAATGACCATAAAATTTTGAATTTATAAATTGTTTGAGTGGAAACTTTTGATTTCGCTGAAGAACCTTGTGAATTTTATTGTCCCAAGTATCAGCCAATGCTAAAAGGTATGAAGCGGGCTGTGTATTCTTTAATGGAATATATTTTGACTTTACCATAAATTGGGAATCAAGTGTTACATGTAGGTCAGAGACTAGTCTAATGTTGTCTGGTTGTAAATTCTCTGATAAGTACCTTTGGTATTTGACAACGCTTGTTTTGTGGGAAAACAGCTTAAAGTTAAATCAGTGAATAATATTTGGTTAATTTGATTTAGATATTGGCAAAATTTGTATAGTATCTTGAAACCAGACTTCGTAATGGCCCGATATATTAGTTTCACGTTTGTCTCCATTTTAGCCTCCGCTTCATTTTTTTTTTTTGTTTTTTTTGTTTTTTTTTGTTTTGTGTGTGTGTGTGTGTGTGTGTGTGTGTGTGTTGTTCTGGTTATCCTTGGGCTATGCACATATTGAGGTTTGGACGAAATATTAATATTGTAAGATTATAAATTTTCAGCTGGGAATTGGAGTCTCTGAGATGAGATGCACCCTTATTTCTTTCCACCAAAAATTGTCATTTGATGTTTTGGTATAAGCAGAATATGTGCTTCTTCTGTCATCTATTTAGGCAGCAGTTGAACCGAATCCTTGATTGGTTCTTGAAGATTTGCTTTTGGTTATTAGTTATTTCCTTTCCGGCCAATAAATAATTTATCGGCGGTCCCAACTCAACTCCTAAAGTGTCCTAACATTAAATGACAATTACATTTGATCAGAATATACTTTTTGAAATTGTGAGGTAATTGGCTGGGGATTATTTAATCAGAATAATAGTAGTTTTAAGTCACGTGAGATATTGACATCTAGCATCACCAAATCATCAAGCAGCTTTCTATATGGTCTATTTTCCACTCTTTAGAACGTAATTGACAGTTGGCAATGCAATCAAATTGGTCTAGTCCGATTCGAACCTTCCATTTTCTTTACTTTTTGTTCTTTATTTTATTAAATTTTTAACTTCGGATTCAATATTGGATAATTTAACCAAAATCCCATCTTCTGTTTTTTCTAATTTTATATTTTAACAACTGGGTTGAACAAATTCTATCCATCTCTAACAACTCTATTCATTACTGTCCCATTCGATGCTTGAAATGGTCCTACTGTTTAAGAATTATTGTACAACACTTGTGTTAATCTTCAGCCCTTGTTCAACTTGTACTCCAGTTTGGTTTTGGGATAATAACGCCATAACATTAAAATAAATCAAATATGTTGTTCGAATACAGTTCCATCCATGTCCATTGAAAGTTGAAAAGCAAATAATTGTACAATTCCAATTTCCACCTACGGTGGGAATAAGGGACCAATAATGAATGAAATCTAGACTGTGAACAGGGGGAGAATAGGTATTGACTCTTGACCCTTGCATTGGTGGGCCCAGTTAAAGTTAAGGCAACTCAAGCCATTTCACTTTTAACTAAAAAAAAGAGGCCACTTCCACAATTTTGCCATCATAAAACACATCCATGGTACAAATACCATACATTAAACTACTTTCTTGGAAGAAGTTGACAAGGAACACCAGATATTAAAGAGCGCCCTTTTTGTATTTTTATAACAACTGCCATGAAATAGATACAGCACAAACTCATGATCACTATCTAGCATTAGCCACAAGAAGGAAAAAAAAAAAAAAGCGTTATCATCATATTAACATATTGACATCGTTATAACAAGATTCATAATTAAATAGTTAAAAAAATAAGTTACAAATGCATCTTCTAAAACAAGTATCTTCCTTGTCAGTTGTCACTATAGAAGATTGCATATCCATTTTAACTCCTTTACGGTCAACTATAAGCTTGTACACTTCTCTTTGAAAAACAGGTCAAAATTCAGGCAAGTCCCAATGGATGTTTAAACATCGGACAAAATGTAAAAATAACTGCGAAGTTGGTGCTTCAAGAAACTGCAAACATTCCATCAATAGATGCCTCCTGTTGGGCACCTTCCTGACCTTGCTGACAGGACACTCACTGATTTTAATCACTCGAACTGAAGCTTTGATTCCGTATTTCTTTTACCTTATTTGCTTACTCATCACAGTACAGATCCCGTGCATCAAATGATTACTGGCTCGAACTAGCACTTGCTGCTATTCATGGATCAGCCAACATTTTTCACAAATTTTACGGACGGAGGCGCTTCTTTTCATATTTGTCATTCCTTAACGTAATTCTGAATCTCTTTATTGGAAGAAAATGAGTTTCTTAAAATTTTAAATTTCGAATTGTGTCTCCGCCGAGAAAATCATCTAATGACTAAAACCATTGGTCAGGGGCTATCAGATTTCAGCCTTTCAGCATCCAAAAAGTCTGGCATCTTTCAGCAGGCTTCTATAGGCAGACGGTTCACGAAAGGTTAACATGCATTTCCTCGCCGACTAAAGAAAATATCTCATCCACGCTAAGGAAAAGAAAGAAAACCGTGATGAAACTGGTAAGAAAGTGACCTTTTTCATCTTTCCAACAATGCATGAAAGACAACTTCAATTCAACAATTAGTGAAAGAAATTAAAATAACTCATGCTAAATTCAAAATGACTGATTACATTATCATTGTCAAATTAGTTAAATTCCGTTTATTTTTTTGCTATTTAAAAACGTGCAGCTGTGATTTATTTATGTAAACAGAAAATTTAAACTGAGCTTATAAGTTCCCGAGTTCCATCTTACCTGTGAGTATCAATGTTCACTTCAGCAAGCCATGTTGTTAGGTAAACCTGCAATGATAATAATTTGGTGCCATGTAAGAAAAAGAAATAGCCTTAAGATTATATATGAATTAGCGAGATGATCTACACAAATATTTTTACCTTATTTTGGAACTCTTTTATTTTGGGTGCAGTCAGAAATAAAAAGAAAGGCTAGTATTTAGCTATCAAAGTATAAATTAAAACATTAGATCTGAATGCACTCACTCACATATATGAATGAGAACTTTAAAAAAAAAAGGAAAAAAAAATATAAAACTTCCATGCATATTATTAGACTGAATCAATTTTAATAACCAAAACAAACCAACATAGTATATAAATATGCGCATACGCACTTCCAAACAACATCTGTAGCCTAACAAAAATGAAGAAAAGCAGAAAAGTCATATATATTCATTCAATTTTTTGCTATGGTAGAGTTTTCTAAATTCTTAGTTAAATGCAAGAGAAAAACACATGCCTGCATAATCTCTCGATTTGGCTGCTGGTTAGATCGAGCAGCTGGCACATTAGACTTCGATACCTGCAATCTTGGAAAGACTGGCTCAGAAGTTTCCCCAGAATACAAGTTACAAATACTCAAATCGTCAAATTCTCCTGTATAAAGCTCGTCTGTCCAATTGAACTTGTTGAGCATTGACGATTCACAACTAGTAGATAATAATTCCACCACAAGCAAGCGCTGCCGAGAGCAGAAAACAATAAGACGATAATGACAAAAACTAAAACTTTCATGTGGTCTTAAACTTAGCCACTTACCTTCAAATTCAGTTCCGATATAAGCATCTGCACTAACTCCTCAGCCAATTTCTCTGAGCCATTGGAAGATCAGTCATGAGTCATTTACAATAGTCTAATGAAACTTACTAGTTCTCTGGAAAAACTGAATGAAAATCCAAAGGTACACGTTGCATAAAAAAATGAAATTATTAACGAGATCATCAATTGTAGAGGATCTTAAATTTCGAGTTTTGGACATACCAAAATAAGAAATTGACCAAAATGTGAAGATTGGGATCCCACCACCATCTCCTGGATCATTCTTATCCTCAGAAAAATCTGAAAATTGAACGAGTGAACTAGCACTCCCCACTTTGAGATAAAGTCTCATGGATTTACTAATTTTCACCATCTGAGCTACAACACCCACCTGTGGAGGACAAAATAAGATAACACAATAAATACATCTAAGTTTAATGTCCTTTGATGACAAACAAAAAAAGCCGCTGGTCTACATCATTCTTTTGGAACTTCTGAAGTCTAAAAGATAACTTTTGAAACAAATCATTTCTTCACTAACATTCAACTCTGGAAAACTAAAGTGGAACATATAGAAACGTGTTGGGTACAAACATACCATGTCTTTGTACGATGACAACAGTTTGGTCCGATGACCCTCCTGAAAAGGGGGGAACCAATTACTAAAACTTGGGACATGAAAAGGACTTCTAAGTCAAACTCGTATTAACAATCTATAAACCTTAGAGCAATTCCATTGCAATGCCAAATTAATGAGCTAATACCTAATTTTATTATTTGAGTGGAAAAAGACTCTCTAATGCAATTCTAATGCAATGCTATTTCTGACGTCAAACTTGGCAAAATGCTATACATGGTGTCAAATTTGACTCCAAGTATATTACAAGTCAAATTTTAGTAGTTAATTATTATTGGTTGATGTATTACCTTTCTAATAAATCGTTACAACACCGTCACTTTTAGAGCTTTAACATTAAAAGATTAGTTTCATGAATTTCAAAGCTTAATAATTATGATAAAATAGTAAATATAGCATTTACAATAGTATTATGCATAAGACTACAAAATAGAATTACATATATTATTCTCCCACATTTTAGTTATAAATATAGCATTTACATTTTCATTGGAGATGATCTTAAGTTGAATAAACAAAAATCATTCACTGCTATGGACACTGCAGAAACTGCGGACAAAAAATCATTCACTGCTATGGACACTGCAGAAACTACGGACAAAGAAAATGGAAAAAGAAGGAAAAGAAAAGAAAAGAAAGAAAGAAAGTTAGACAAAGGCCAGACTGAATAATACCTGCTGCTTAAGCAATTTCCAAGAACCTTTTTTCCGTATATCGGGCATGTCGCTTAGAACTCCAAGTTCCATTGATGGTATGTATCTGAATCAATCAATTCTAGCCTCTTTCAATCTCACAACCAAAAACTCATAAAGACCCATCGCTAGAGAGAGAGAGAGAGAGAGAGAGAGAGAGAGAGAGAGAGTACGTGAGAGAGAGGTAAGCGTTGACGAGAGAAGTGGCGTGAGAACGAGAGGCAGAAGAAGAAGATTTCCATTGTTGGGTTAAAGAAGCAAGCTTCGACCACTGGTTTTTGAGATTTCGCTGAGCGGCTGGCCTCCATAGCCTTGCTACAGACGGCGCGAGCGGTGAAGGGCTACGGCTAGCTGCTCTGGGGTGAGGAGAAGGGGTTGCCGGGCCTATGGATTCTTCTTCTTCTTTAGCTGTTGGGGTTTGAGTTCGGTTTTGGTCCGCCATTGCTGTGAGTTAGCGGAGGTGATTTGGGACGGATAAATTTATATACCAACTGCAAAAACGACAACTTCTCATAATAAATTCTGAAAACGACAACATAAACACATCATACAAACGACAATAATTTTTAAAATGGCAAACGTGCTACAAGATAACGACATAGCGTTTTGAGCGAGTACCATATTCTGATATATCAGCGGGACCCACTGTCGGTCAATATACATGCTCTTTTAGCTCGTGCTTTGCAGTTGATTTGGGCTTCAGAGTTGAGAGAGAAAGAAAGAGAGAGAGAGATGTCGTCGCACGGGAACTTATCGGCGGCGAACGATCCACGACAGCCATCGGCGGCGAAGCCTTACGTCCCTCCGGCGGTGGCGCCGCAAGATCTGCCTGTCGATTACTCAGGTTTCATCGCCGTCATCTTCGGCCTCTTCGGCGTCATGTTCAGGGTAATTCCGACTCCGATCTCCATCTCCTTTCATAAATCCTCTTCAACAGATTCTTCGATTCGCGTTCCGTGCTTTTCAAGTCTCAATTCCTAATTTTTCCCTGTGAATTTTGCAGTACAAACTGAGCTCGTGGCTTGCGATCATATTCTGCGCACAATCGATCGCCAACATGAGAAACTACGAAAACGATCTCAAGCAGGTCTCCATGGCCATGATGTAAGTTTAAATATGTTAAAATACATGTGAGATATATGATTGTATGTATATTCAAATATGTAGAACCTCTTAGAGTAACAATTTAGGAAATCAATGGCATTACTGATGTCTCTTTCATTTCACCGATTTGAGTTTTTAATTTTAAATTTTTACGGTAAAAAGTTCTCAGAAAATGTCACATCAACTTTTTTTGCTACAGTGAAAAGCTATCAGAAAATGTCACATCTCAACTCGAATTAAAAACTCGAATCCGCGAAGTGAACGAGGCCTAAGTTTCAAAATTTCTATAGGTGTCTATGGAATTTCCATGATTTGGATTTATCCACTACTGAGGCTAGCTTACATTACTCCAATTCAACATGTCATATTTTGAATATTTATGTAAATTTTCTATGTCTATGTCGGCGTGATGTATTTATGAACCAATTTATGGAATTTTTCAGAGGATCTATTTAGGAAGTCAACGGCATTCGGATGCTTAGGAATTTGATTTCTATAATCTATTTTGGTATTTCAGTTGTTTGGAATTTACTCTGCGTGTCATACTTCCACTAGTGAAGCTAGCGTAGATTAGTTAGTTTAGTACTATAGTTGGGGACAAGTTGAATTGTTGAAAGAGGAACACTAGGTTCTTTTCTTAACTTGAATCCCTGATACAGAGAAGGATTGCGTTTTGCCATAATAAGTCATTATAGAGGTTGATAGTTAAGACTTGGTTGGATCTTTTAAGACTTGAAAAGGACAATTCTTATTTGATCAAAGTAAACCTGATAATCAAAAGGCCATAGCCGTCGGAATAGGCAAAGGTGAGAGTTGCTTTGCTCTGATCTAACTGTTTCTGTTGATCTTAAATTGCTCCCGATTTTGAATTTTATGGCTTTGTAATATGGTTTCAAAATGTATATCAATGAGCTCTTTGTAAGTATGACCGGAAAGAGGCCCTAATTGTCTATCTGAACATAAATGTTACCTATGGTGATCCTGAACGGAGGTATTTTCCCAGTTTCAAACAAGAATAAAATAATAAAATTGAGGTGATTGTGTTAACCGCTTTGAGGTAGAAAAGTCCTTTTCTTGTAGCGCCTTAGTTTCAGAGGAATCGTTTTTTCTATACCATTATTTAAGATTTTCTGTTTTGAGAGTTGAGTAAAGAACACACCCCTCCATTAAAATGCGGTCTTAAGCTCTCCGCTGATGGGTTTTTCCTAAAAAGTACTCTCAACTAGTGAAGTGGAAAAGATAAAAGTTTGTGACATCTGATGTACGATCTAGGTGCAGTCTTGAACTTGATAAATATGATACTGTAACACCTTGAAGTTCTGGATTCAAGCGTTATTATATCTCAATATGTTGATACTTTCAATGCCTATGTTCACAATGCCCGGGATGTTCTTTTGCTTTGCTCGAGCATATGTGCTTATATTATGATATATGGTTCTTTTGTTTCTTTGTTCTTTTACTTTTATTCAGTTTGATTGTATTCTCCATACCAGGTTTGCTATAATGGGATTGGTGTCAAATTACTTTGGGTATGCTCGTCCTGGCAGGAAGAGTTGAGATTCCATGGATTACTCTAGGTGATTGACATTTTAGCTTCATTTTCATATTTTCGATCCTTGATTTTGAGATAGTAGAACTGGTATTTGATAGAGTTAATATGAAGACGTAATTCCAGGATATGCATATTATTTCAACCTTGTCATGTCTCTGCAGTTAATGTGTTTCTGGCCCTCTCTTTTTCTTTCTATGTTTCAGTTTGAATGAGGGGAAATAATAAATAGACAATTTACTCCAGAAAAAAAAAAGAAACAAGAGAATTTTACATTTACATCAAGTAACAACTCTACTACAGTTCAGTGGACAGTTGATGACAATTTTTAATGAAATTGGGTTATTATAACACTACGTTATCAAATTTTTATATTTGATGGTAATCACGATGGAAACGTAACCATTAAAAACTTGTCTATATATTTATTAATTTATTTATTTGGTGTGGTTTTAATGATTACTCTAATATTTAACAATTAATATATATCATTATTTTAGTTATAAGATATGAATTTGACGGTTGTAATAAATTAAATAGTTGATTAAAAAAATTTATGACAATTAATGAAATTGAATTTTTGTCACGCGAAATTATCAAATTTCTATATTTGATGAGTAACCACGATGAAAATGTAACTATTGAAACCTTGTATATATATATATATATTTAATATATGTATGTGTGTATGTTTGTGTAGTTTTAATAGTTATTTTAATATTTACCTATCGATGGATATCGTTGTTTTAAACGTAAAATATTGATCTGGTGGTTATAATAAATTAGTTAGTTGAGAAAAAATTTATGATAATTAATGAAATTAAATTCTTATCACATCACATCATTAAATTTTTATATTTTAATGGGTAAGTACTCCATAATAACTATTAAAAATTCGGCTATGCACTTTTGAAAGATAAAATTCCAAAATAAAAAACAATTCCTTTGTTACAATACAGTTTTGAAACACAACATTTCAAAAGCAGTACTAAATTTACCAAATATGACAATGTTAAGAGAATAATAGCCTAGTCAATATGGATTGTTTTGTCCGATTAGTCACTAAGAACACGTAAAACAGAAAATCGCATCAATCGAAGATTTAACAATAAAATTCTGATTCTTTATAAAGATATAAATCTCATCCCACATTATGTTACACGTGTAATATTATACCTATCGAAAATGACAACGCTTTGTGAAAATTAATATGGTCAATACAAATCTCGTTTTATTCGGCTCGTCGATACGAATGCATAGGAAAAAATGTCTTAAATATCCTTTTACATTATGTTATATAGGCAGTACCATACCTATTGAATATACAACGCTCAGTTAAAAATAATGTTGACGGTGATTTTTAGTCAACTAAAGATTAACTCTCCAGTGACACTCACAGTAATCTCTCACGTGTTAGTAGAGGATTAACGTTGCATAAGAAGATAAAAAAGATAGGAATTTATAGTGGTTCGGTGAGAATTTTTTGCCTAGTCCACTTGTCGATGCATTAATATTTTGTTGATTATAATCTCTCTGGAGTAGTAGCATAGTGCGTAAAAAACTTACTGAATTTCTTTGGCTCTATTTATAAGCCTTGTACATATGAGAGACATCATTTACATTCCTCGAGAAGATCATCTTCTATCTCTAAGTTTTGGGATTTGGCTGTTACGTTTTCATGATTTCAGCTCCCAGGTCAGGCTAACTACTATTACCAGTTACATGATTTCCTGACTTGAACTTGGGCAGTTGATACAGTGTATCTTTTCTCGAGTTGACAGGATTTGATTTGGATTAGACCGGGTTGCTCTCTCGACTTCGAGACCCTCACAACTCAGGCGGGGTCCTCGACGCGTATCCTCCTGCATGAATTCTTGCCGTCTTGAGGGCATCCTAGATACAACATTTTTCTTGACGTCAGCGATCGACTCTCAACTGGGATACCTCGTCGCTTGTTAGTCAAAGGAACGATCGATTTCTCGACCGAGGTGTAACAATTACCCATAGATTGGAACACCGCGTCGCGATGTTGCAGGCTATACAGCGTCGAGAGTATCACGTGGCAATCTCTTTCCTGCAGAGAGTGGCGGCTGCTTGTTGGCACAGTGCCATCATTGTAGCGAGTTTCTCGGGCAGTGGACCAGTCCTGTCGATCGTGTCAACAGTCACATCTCCCATGTCCTGGTGCCACGTGGCAGTCGGGGGGATGAGTTGCAGCTGTTCGATCAAATTCACCTCCCCTGTTCTCTCCCCGACCATTAAATTGCGTCTCTTCAGATTCACCGTTGGATGGAGTCGGATCGGATTCAGCGGTCGAGATCTGAAGTCCTTTGGACTTCCCTGAGACTTCTAGGCTCCCTTCTCGAGTATATATTATCCCTTGGGACAGTCTCACGGTTGCCCATTTTTCAGAACGCTGTTGTTTTGTCAGATTTTCACCAGGAGTTACCTTCTCCGATTCCAACTTCTGTGTACACTTTCCGTTCTTGATTCTCTCTCACTTCCCAGTTTTTAGGCCGCCTCAAGGACTAGTAAGTCGCTTTGTTCCTTTTGCTTTTTCTATGTGATTCTAGAACCAAAACCTGCAAAAAAGCAGTCTGTTAAAAGAAAATGCGCTTACTTGGTGTCGTTGATCCTGAACCTAGGGCCGTGCCCGTGTGGCATTGTTTGTTCGGGTTCAGTTGCTTTTTGTTGGGGGTCCTCAAGCTCGTTCTTGGGTTCTGGGGACCCTTGCATGAGTTTTTTCCCATCTCCATGTCCATGGAAATTGAGTGTTGTTAATCCTAAACTCTAGGGTCTCTCTGGTCTGAACATGCTTCTGTTTCTTCTCGCACGTTATTTGTGACATCTCGACTATTAGGCACTAACTCGACCCCTTCTATGTTTACTTCCAGAGTATGCCGCCCAAACAGGTTAGAGGTCGAGAGGTTTCCACTTTCAGGGTTAGGGATGACCCTGAAGAAGCTACGACGCCGAGCATGTCTCTGAGCGACAGCGGGGATTCTCTGCTCCGCTAGGTGGTTGAGTACACCGAGGGGTTTGTCTCGACTTCTCGGCCGGATGAGCTCATTCTCCTCAACGATGATGACGATGGCCTACGGGTCGGCCCTGTTGAAGGCCATAGTTACGGGGTGGTGTCGACCAGCGGCATCTCAGGGATGGTGACCGACGTTAACCCGTCAAAAATAAAATCCCGGGGTGCCGTGAAGGCGTTCCGCGATGTAGGTATCGACGCCAACAATTTTTATTTGATTATTTCGACCCCTAATGACAGAGCTCACAACCCCCTAGCCAACCACATGACTGTATATACCCGTTCCCTTAGTTTTGGGCAGACTCTGCCATTTCACCTGTTCGTGAAGGCCCTTTGCGGTCTTCACAGAATTTCTCCTACGCAATTGTCACCCAACTGTTGGGTGACGATTAACTCCATGATCATTTTATGGAGAAAATTTTTGAACCTCGACATTATCGTTGATGAATTTTTGTACTGTTATGCCATTAGGGGTTCCCCAGGCCAGATGAGATTTTTCTATTTATGCTCTCACTCCAAATCCAAGCCTCCAGCCCCCCCCGGTCGTAGTCGAGAAAATCTCTAGTTGCCACGGGTGGAAGCCCCAATTCTTCTTCCTTGGTGGCAACTTCAACTCCCACTCACTCGATGGCGAGCGTCCTTTGGGGACGCAGACAATATTAAGCAAATACTGTAGGTCTCATCTTTATTGGGTTGTTGTAAAACCTTTTCTGTTCGCCGAGCTATCTTATATACGTTGCTCTAACTGCAGGTGAAGTCACTTCTCGACCAAAGCTTTCTTCGGCCGCTCTGGCATGAGTCGAGCAGATCTTATCTCATTCTGACTCCTGCCGAAGCTTTACCATTCTCAATACCCAGGAGAACTGTTGACTGTACGGTCTGGTAGTCACTCTTGACCCTCCGCGATAGCCTATCGCCCCTCCCGCAGATCTCCTGAGCGGTGAGCTGGATCTGTAGTTTGGTTTGCTATAGTCATATTGGTTCTAATTTTTTTTTTTTTTTGTAGCTGTGCCATCCACCATGAGGTACGTTCTCCCCAGTAAGTCGAAGAAAAACAAAGGGGAGGCATCCTCTAGGTCGACAGGTCAGCCGTCGACCTAAGCTGTTCCAGCCCTTGGGGTCATTAATGTTCCGGACTGGGGAAGGTTTGTCATCACCCCCGCTCCTAAGAGACAGAGAGCGGACGAGCTGTAAGGCTCTTCTGTAGTTGAGGGGTCATCTCGGGCATCTTGGCGCCTAGACAAGGGGAAGGGCGCCGAGGTCGAACATCAACGGCCCCCAATTCCTTATCTCGGACGTGGTCGACCACAACCTCAACCAAGCTCTGCGCCTCCCTCCTCGCTTCAGCCTTTCCATCCAGGCCATTTACACGCACTTTCACCCAGACTCCTAGGACAAGTTTGCCGGGATGGGCCTCCTGGAGCGCCAGCGCATAGCGGTAATCCGCCAAGTCTCGGTATGTTTCGCTTGCTCACTTCTCGACCTTTATTCTCACGTAGCTGATCTTTATGTCTTAATCATGTCTTCTCTTCTTCATCATCCAGGCTCTCGAAGCTATGCTTCTTAATTATGTGGAGCTCGAGACTTTGCTGGACCAGGGTACCCCGTCGAGGGCTGCTGAGGAGGAGCTCACGGCTCTGCGCGTTGCCCGGGAAGAGCTCTCCTCGGACTTGTAGGCTGAGAAGGCCAAGGTAATATCCATTGGGGAAACGATCGTCCAGGATAAGAACGAGAGCTTCCAGGAGGGTTTCAAGGAAGGATGCTCTAAGGCGGTCGAGGCATACCTTTCCTCTCCCAGCTTCTAGCAAAAGAAGAAGGAGGCGGTCGAGGAGTTCATGGCCTCTGAGGAGTTCTGCCGGTCGGTCGACACTCAGTTAGAAGCATTCAAGTCGTCCTAGGAGTTCAAGAGTATGGTCGACCAGTAGGTGGAGCAATTCAAATCCTCGAAGGCTTTTGAGGGTCTTCTCGCTCACAGGCTTGAGGCTTGCAAAGCCTATGTTGAGTTTGAGGACCTTCAATTGTCCTTAATGAGGTCTGCTGGGGACCAGATTCTCGACTGCTTTCGAAGAAAGCGCCCGGAGGAGGTGGAGGAGGTCGAGGAAGTGCAGGGGGCTGAGCAAGTACCAGGGGATGGGGCGGAGCTATGAGGACTTTTCTTCCTCTCTTTTCTATTTTTTTTAAGAAGGGCCGTAAGGCCAAGACATTGAATTGTTATTTTGTAACGGCCATAAGGTCGAGACTTATTATTATTATTATTTTTTGCATATATATACAAGTGCCTATTTTGCGTATGAATGCTGTGGATATACTATGTATATAAAGAAAATTTTTTTTTTTTGGTTAAGCATGGTTAAGCCATGGCTCACTACCTTTATAGACTTTAGGGTGACGTTATTACCCCCTCGTCAAAGATAGTATTGGACTTATTTTTGACGCAACATTGGCGACATTTATCAGTCGGCGTAGATTGTAGATCTTTAAGTATGTAAAGCCAAGTAGAGCGTGATGTAGTATTTCGTTGTATTATTTGGCATAGATCAAATGAGTAGAAAATTGAATCGGACTTATACTTATGTAGAATTTACACGTTGACTTTTCAGCTTGTAAAAAATAAAATAGAAAACAGAACAAGTTAAAAGTGCTAAATGTAACCTTTAGGTCGACCTTTCTCGCCGTTATTGGTAGTAGGTCTTTAGTTAGTCTGCATTCCATGTGTGCTTGATGTCTTGACCATTTAGTTATGTGAGTCGATAAGATCAATTGGCCATAACTTCCTTTATCCTGTAAGGTCCTTCCCAAGTTGGGCCTAGAGCACCAGAGTTCTTAGGTTTAGTATTTTTGGTTACCACTCGTAGGACAAGGTCTCCTACTCCGAACTGCTTATGCTTGACCTTTCTGTTGTAGTATCTAGCAGTCATGGCTTGGTATGCGGTGAGCCTTAGCTGCGCATTTGTACGCCTTTCTTCCAAAAGGTCGAGCTCCAAGCCCATTCGCTCGGCGTTCCTGCTCTCTTCGTACCGTGTCACACAGCTGGTAGGAATGGATATCTCGACTGGAAGGACCGCTTTCACCCCATAAGCCATCGAGAAGGGAGTTTTCCCCGTGGTAGTCCTACTGGTCATCCTGTAGGCCCACAGGACTTTCGGTAACTCATATGCCCACTTTCCTTTGTAGCTGTGGAGCCGCCACTTAAGCGTGACTTTTATGATCTTGTTAACCGCCTCAACTTGTCCGTTGGACTAGGGGTATACAACGGAAGAAAAGTTCTTGTGAATACCCAATAATTTACAAAACTGGTTGGTGTTGTCATTGTTGAATTGTCTCCCGTTATCTAACACGAGAGAATGTGGTACACTGAACCTGCATACTATGTTGTTCCATATAAAGTTTGTACACTTTTCCTCTGATATGGTCATCAGTGGCTCGGCTTCTACCTACTTCGTGAAGTAGTCGCCAGCAAAGATGGCGAACTTATATCCCCCAAGGGTTTTGTGTAACGGGCCAATAAGATCAATCTCTCACTTAGCAAAAGGCCAAGGAGAGACTATCGACGTTAGATCTTCTGAATGTAGTCGAGGGATGAGGGCGTACCTTTGGCAGCTTTCATACTTCTTTGCATACTCGGTCGCATCCTTTTTGAGGTTGGGCCAGTAGTACCCCTGTTGTAGTATTTTATAGGTTAAGGACTGCCCCCCTGCGTGATTTCTGCATATCCCGTCATGTACTTCTGAGAGCATTCTATTTGCTTCTTCTTCATCAAGGCACATGAGCAGAGGCGTCGAGTATCCTCTTTGATAAAGAACATTGTCGTGTATAGTGAATCTCGACGCCTGGTACCTCAACTTTTTTGCTTGCTGTTTGTCCTCTGGGAGTTCACCGTCGACCAAATATCTGATGATTGGGTCCTTCTAGCTCGGCCGGCGATTTATCGGCATGACTTCAGGTTTTTCCTCAGTGGTAGGAGCTTTTAAGACTTCCACGGGTACTAGCTTCAACAATTCGGCGTCCTTTGAGGTGGCTAGCCTGACAAGGACATCAGCATTGCTATTTTCTGCCCTTGGCACTTGCTGAATGTTGTAGGATGTGAATTTTTCCAAGGCCTCTTTGACATTCTTAAGGTAGGCTGCCATTTTTTCATCATTGGTTTGATATTGGCCTTTTACTTGATTCACGACCAGTTGCGAATCGCTGAAGATGTCTATGGCCTCCACTTTTAGGTGTTCTGCCAACCGGAGTTCGGCTAGCTGTACTTCGTACTCTATTTCATCGCTAGACGCGGGAAACTCAAACTTGATGGCCGATGTTATTTTGTAACTTTTTGGGATATGCAATACCAACCCTGCCCTACTGCCGTTGTCATTGGAGCTCCCGTCGACGTAGAGTTTCCACCTGAGTGGTTTGTTGGTGGCTCTTGTTTCATCTGACAATCTTGTGAATTCAGCTACAAAGTTGGTCAGGGCTTGACCTTTGATGGCAATCCGTGGCTTGTAGTCAATGTCAAACTAGCTGAGTTGTATGGACCATTTAAGGAGTTCTAGAAGCGTCGGACTTTTGCAATACTTGCCAGAGTGGATGGTTTGTCAAGACTTGTATGCTATGGGCCTAGAAATAGTGGCGTAGCTTTCTCGACGTCACCACTAATGCAAGGGTGAGTTTTTCCATTTGCGGGTATCTTGTCTCTGCGTCGAGGAGGTGCTTACTAGTGTAGTACACTGACAGCTGAACCTTCTTCTCTTCATGGATCAACACTGAACTAACGACGTGTTCTGAAACCGCCAGATACATGCTCAACACTTTTCCGGCCATATGTTTGGACAGTAAAGGTGGTTTCCTAAGATGTTTCTTCAACTGTCGGAACATGTGTTCTCACTCCTTCGTCAATTGGAATGGCTTGCTTGTTTTCTCACAGGGTATCAAAAAATGATATGCACTTATCTGTATATTTTGAGATGAATCTGTTGAGCGCAGCCACACAACACGTTAACTTCTGGACCTTTTTTGGTTTCCTTGGCGATCTCATGTCGAGGAGTGCCTGTATTTTCTCCGGATTAGCCTTGATTCCTCGACTGCTCACCATAAAACCTAAGAATTTTCCCCATTTAACCCCGAACGCACACTTGAGGGGATTTAGCTTCATTCTGTACATTCAGAGGACGTCAAACATTCTCTCGAGGTCCCCCACATAGTCCTTGGACTTCTTGCTCTTTACCAGCATATCATCCACATATACATCCATCGATTTTCCTATCTGGTCAGCAAACATCCTGTTAACCAGGCGTTGATAGATTGCTCCAGCATTTTTGAGGCCAAATGGCATGACTTCGTAGCAATGGGGTTTGAAACGCACTCGGGATACAAAACTTCCCGGATGAAGTTGTTTCTTATCAACTTGTCGAGCGGCATTCATTGGTCGACGCTTCTGCCTTTTGAAGGGACACTTTTCGTCTATGTTTAGCATGTGACATATTATGTCCGGACTTATCCCCTCCATATCTTCGTGAGTCCAAGCAAAGACGTCGAGGTTGCTTCTGAGAAATTCTATCAATCCTTCCCGGCTCTGCTCTTCAAGTTCTGAGCTCATTCTTAGCTTTCTTGTCGGCTCTTTTTCATCAATGGGGACCTCGACCAATTCTTCGACCGGTCCCGTTCTCGTCTCTTCACCCGAGAGCCTTGGATCTAGATCGGACTCCTCTGCTCCGGTCACCACCATCTTCATCTCTTTTCTCGCCTGCATCGGCTTAGCTTCATGGCGGACGGTCTCTGAGTATATGAGCCTCGACTCATACTGGTTTCCTCTGACTTTTCCAATCTCATTGGGGGTTGGAAATTTCATCATTTGATGATAGATTGACATGATCGCCTTCAATGCTCTCAGCGTTAGACGTCCTATGACTGCATTATATTAGTCACCTCCCTTCACCACCAAGAATTTTGATATGACGGTCGAGGTATGTGGTCGGTCACCAATTGTCATTGGCAGTTCTATTATCCCCTCGGGGATGACACTATCCCCGGTGAAGTCGTATAGGGGTTGCGTACTATTCTGCAGTCTCGTTCAGGGGATTCCCATCTTGTCGAGGCAGCCAGCGTACAATATGTCTACCGAGTTGCCGTTGTTGATTAGGATGTTGCAGGAGCATCATTACGAGGGAAATACACTCCGTTTGCTTTTGTTTCTGAAAATATTTTCTCGGCCTCTTCATACCTCGCGGCCTTCACCTCTCTACCGGACACGCTCATAACCCTCCGGTTGAACTTTTCCTTTGCCTCTCTTGTATACTCCTTTTGTGCGCGGCGAGAGATACCGCCGATGTATGGCCCTCCAAAGATCGTTCTTATCTCGCCGACAGGTTCAGGCGAGTTGTCTTGCCTTTGATCATCCCGTCGGTCGTTGTTTCGCCGATTATTGTTGCCACGTCGGTCGGCTCGGTATTCATTGAGCCTCCCTTCTCGGATTAGCCTTTTGACTTCATCTCTCAAATCAAAACATTCGGCGGTCGTGTGTCCGCTCTCGCCGTGGAACCTGTAATATTTGCTTTGATTTCTCCACCCTGGGTCGGACTTGAGCGGTGGTGGGCGACGCAATACCTGGAGGTGACTAATATCGTGATAAACGTCCTCGATCCCCATGGTTAAAGGGGTGTAGGCGTCGTATTTTTATGGCTTGGGTCGCTTGGTATCGCCCTGTCCTGTTGAGGCGTTGTTACCCCTGTTGTGTGGGGCTGGATTATACCTTTGCTCCGCTTGCACCTGAGGATTACCTCGACGCTTCTTGCCGTTGTTTTGATGGCTTGACTGTCCTACTTCTTCTTTAGTGGAGACCACCACCTTACTTTTTAAGGCCTTTTTGGCCTCCTCTGCATTAATGAATCCCTGTGCCCTCATCAAGAATTCTTGGTAGATCTGTAGTGGCCTCCGATCGAGGTCTGTGCTATACGGGATATCCTTCTTCATGCTTGATAGGGCCCTCATCAAAGCCACCTCGTCAGAGATCCCTTCGGTGGCAGCCACTTGTTCCCTGAACCGGGCTATCCAATCTTTTAGGGACTCGTTTGGTCCCTGATACACCCTCGAGAGGTTTTGCTTGGGTGAGATATACTTTTTGACACCTATGAACTGAGTCAGGAAGGCGTTCTTCAAGTCATCTGAGCTAGTAATGGAGTTTTGTTTTAAGGACCTGAACCATCTCCTGGCGGAATCAGAAAGATGATTTCTGAACGTCCGGCACATGACCTCCTCGGGGTACCCGTGAAGGATCTTGTGCCCTGTGTAGACTTCCAAGTGGTCATCCGGATCACTCCTTCCATCATATAGCGGGATAGGGGGCGGTTTATACTTATCAGGCAACGACACCTGGATGATGTTTTCTGTGAATGGGTGGTTGTGAGACGTGTACATCTTGGCGTCGACATTTACGGCCTCGACCACCTTTCCCACATCTTGCTTAAAGTTGTTTAGCCGACTCCCTATTTGCTTTTCTAGCCTGACTATCTTGCCGTATTTTCGGCCGTGAGCTTTTCCTCCTTGGTCCGCTGCACGTCTCGGTCGCGTCGAGCGTTTAGCTGCTCCCTCAGGTCTCCTTCGCGTACGGATGAAGATTCTACCAGAACAACATTTCTCCGGTTCACGTTCTCCTGCGGTTGAGGAGGCACTTCTCTGTTATTCGCTGTATGGGCCGTAGCCCTCTCTTGGGCGCTCCTCTTGGCAGCTCGTTGCCTGCTCTCCACAGATCTATTCGACTTGGCTAGGTGGGGGTTGTTAGCCCCACTGTCACCGACCCCCTCAGCGTGTAACGCCCTGAAGAATTAAATGAGCTTAATTAAGGTAATTAAGATTTATTAGTGTGCCTAATCTGGTTTAATTAATTAATTATTGATTTTTAAATGTTTCTGATGTGTAAATTTAAATATTTCCAAAGAATTTAAATATTTTATGTAATTACATTTTTTTTCCCCAGAAGTGTGTGTAGACACATTCTCTGTACTGTATTTTTAAATATTTAGACACCTATTTTTCCGTTCTTTTTCCCTATTCTTTTCTTTTTCCTTTTTCTTTTTTTCTTCTTTTCTTTTTCCTTTTCTTCCTTCCTTCCCGTGGCTGCTCAGACAACACACCCTTTCTCTTCCTGTTTTTCTTTCTTTTCCTTCTTTCCTTTCTTCTTCTTCCACGGCAACCTCTCTCTCTCTCGCTTTCTTTCTTCCTTCACCGCCGGCCACCTTCTCCTTCTCCGGGCTCTCTCTTGCCGGCCTTTCTCTCTCCTTTGCTCTTTCTCCATTTTTCTCTCTCTCTCCCGGCTTGCTGCCGCGACAAAAAAAAAAAAAAAAACCGGCCGAAAATGAGAGAAATGGAGAGAAACGGGTTTCAATCCCTTTGAGGTAAGGATTTCTTGAAAACCCATGCTTGGATTTGAGTTATTAGTTTGAGAATTTAAAATTTTGGTTAGGTTTGAATAATTTTGAGTTAAGGTTTGAATTTGAACAGTTGTTGGAATTGATTGAAATTTGGGGGTTTTCAGTTATTGGACTTGTTTAGTTGATTGGAAATTGGTTTTGATGGATTCTGGAGAATTTATTTTGAAATTGAACTTGAATTGCAGGTTTGGCATTTTTCCTATTTATGCTGGCATGTTATCGAAATTTCTTTAAAAAGTTATTTTTAAACTGAAATTAAATAGGAAACCAATTTCATGAATTTGATTTCTATCTTTAAAGAACCCCCAAACTGATTATAAAAATCGGTTGTGAAACTTGGATTTGAGTCAAGAAACACTAATAGGAAATCAAAAGGATATAATTGAGTTTGAATTACTTTAGGAATGAGATTGGGATCCTAAAGTGTTGTTTTGCATCAGTGCTAGCTGAGGACTCAGATTGAGAGGCTTTGAGGAAGCGAAAGCCGGAATAGAGTAACGCTAGCCACAAGTTTGATATTTGTGGGGTAGGATTTCTTACCCCTTTCTTTGTGAGCCTATTTTCAAAAGGTTTTTTGGCATTGCAAATGTTTTAAAGAAATAGCATGTTTGCGAAAGAAAAATATTTTAACCCCCATGGCTTGTGTAGATTCTGGGGAGTATAATGAACTGTTTCATAAAGTTTAATGAATGATTTCTTAAGACAAGAGATCTTGTGAATCGGTAAACCGACTGATGGCCTAGATAGGATGTGGAGAGTGCATCCATGGGGGCAGGACCCGAAACCCGGCCCGGGGTGATATGGCTTGTGCATTTGGTTGTGTAAGTAATTTATCATAGTATAAATTACTTGCTAATTCCTTGGAGAAAAAAGATGTGAGGTTCCGGCTGTTGTGTTGGAACTGAATGTCTATATTTATTCATTTACTCATTTATTATTTGCTTATTTACTTATTTATAAAGTTATTTCAAAATATATCCTACTGGGCGTTTCGCTCACGTTTTTATTGTTCTATAAATATTAAACCTCTCCCAGGAAATTCTAGAAGCGGTGCGGAGTAGCTGAGTTAGATTGCTACCATCTTGAGTTGGAGAGGATTGTGTTCATCCTCCTGATATATAAATGTAAGGAAGTGTAACTTCTGTAAACTCTTATATTTGGACTTCTAGATTGTGGTTGATGTCTGTAATGTTATTTACATGCTCATGTATGTACAATACTGTATGTCCTGTGGATGGAGCCCTGAATGTTGTCAGCGGCTCAAGTAATAGAACCTCCTCCGCTGTAATTTATTTTAATTAAGTGTGGGGCTCGTTGGAAATTTCTTTTATTATCACGCGTTTAACCCCTAATCGAGCTCCACGTCACCGACCCCGGCTGCGGGGCGTGACACAGCGTCACCACGTTGGTCATCAATCACTTGGTTCCCGACGGCGGCGTTCACTGGGTTCATCGGCGCGTCTTCCAACGGCGGCATCGAATTTGGCCTTTGGTCTCGTCCAGTGAGGGCTGTAGCCATCCTTTCTACGGCTACAATGAGTGTTTCGACCTGCCTTTGGAGCCGGTCAAGGCGGTCTGGGGGGTTTCCAGCGGCCGGTGGTTGTGCCTTGCAGTTGGGTCGTACTCCAGCCGGTTCCAGGCCACTGTTGGGCGGATTCGTTGGATTTCTTCCTCCGACGATAGGATTCTGGCCTTCCTGGCTTTTCTGAGTCGCCATCATGTTGCGAGTCTTCCTCCAACCTGACCCAATTTTAAAATTTTAGATTTAGAACTTAGTTGGGCCAACACTCTCTCCTTTAAGGTCAGGCCGGACTAGCCTGAATATCATATTTTTAAAATTTTTTATAAAACAGTCTGATGTAAAAGTAATCCTTTAAAAGCATAAGAAAGGACAAACATAGAATTATATTTATATATAAGAAAAGTAATTCATGGAAGTTAGGAAACAAACCAAAAAAGCTATACATGAATAATATAATAAAGAAAAAGATAAAAAATCAATTTTTTTTTTGTATTCTTATGTAATATTGTCTGTTTATGTGCATAGCTAACACTTGGTTTGGTTAGTGTAACATTCAAAAGATGTAATCCTACTCATGTAATAATGAGTATTACACTTACGCAAACTAAATGTTACACACACATATGAATTGTTGAGAAAATTTGCTTAGGACCTAAGCATATAACAGATAACGAAAAATTAAAGCAAAATTCACACCAAGACTTTTATACAGGTTCACCAATTTAGCTATATCATGTTTCTATTGCCATAGATTCTACTATTCAGTTGAAGATATTCTTTACAAAGAAAAGCACTCAATTTTACTTTGTGTTTCTCTCACTCAAAAGATGTTTTCTAGCCTAACACACCAATTTTGTCTCTGAAAATTTGTCACCAATAAATCTCCCAACATTGGTATTTATAGAGTACAAGAAAAGTCCCAAAAGGCCCTAAAAAAATCATCAAAACCGCCTTAAAACCGAATCAGCCCCGACCTAGCGCTGGTGCCCTCATCTTGGTGCTGCAGCGCTGCCTCATCTCATCCCAGATGTGCGCACCCTGTGTTGGCGCTGGCCTGCTTCGTGTTGTAGCAGCCTCTTGGTGCCGCGGCACCCACTGACCGGGGCTGCGGCGCTACGCTGATTTTCTCCACCTTTTTTCTTGCTTTTCCGAAGCTTCTTCTCCACGGATTAGGCTCCACATCCTTCTCAACACGAACGATGTTATATGAGAATGCAAAAAACATTGCATTTGTAATTGGATTGTACGGATCCAGACTTAAAAGTTTGTCTATATAAATATATATAACATATAATACCTTTCCTGTAAAATGAACAAAGTCCTTAATTAAGATTTTTGGTGATAGTATATATATGCAACACTATCCACAAGAGACCACTATTCCCACCAATGCCAACTTCAATGTGCCCTTACGCGTGCTTAAGAAATTAACTGCCGAGGTAGTCTCTTAATTATTGCAGTAAAATTCTTGTTGTGTTCGGCCTTATATATTCTTTTCTCTTCTCTTTTTTTCAACCTCGAGAAGATATATTTTTATTGCTGCTTTTTATGAGAAGAAAATTCTACAATAATATTACTATACCTTTAAGGAACAATCACTACAGCTCCAATCTAAAAGGGCAGTTCAAATAAATAATATATTTTTCTAATAGTTTTTGGACCCGTTTAGTCCGCTGATTCCAGTTTTTAATTCGAGTTGAGATGTGACTTTATGTGAGAGCTTTTTACTGTAGTAAAAAAATTAGATGTCGGTGAAATGAATGGTTCTTCTAGTTAATACCGAATTATTGTTATTCTCGAAGTTTAATTATACTAGTAACTACTTGATCACAACATACGATTTATTTCAGTTTATTTTTATAGCTGCGTGGATGTAGATGTGTGTTTTTCCCAATACGTGTGAATAGTATCGTACGTATTTTTTTAACGAAATGTTTCACACATTAGTCAAAATGTGCAAAACGTTTGGCACAGTTCGTTTTCTTCATTTTTATCCTTGTTTCTTTTTTTCTCCTTTCTTCTTTTTTATCTTATTTTTCTAACAATTTATCTAACTATTGTTTTAAAAAATGCCACGCGCAAAGTGAACGTTCTAGCTAGTATGTATGTATGTATGTATATATATACATGTTATGTGTGTGTACATTTAATTTTATGCACAAGGAACTTTTGATTGATTGCAGAGGAAGCAGCAGATTACTGGAAATTATTAGAACTGCAAACAAATTCTACAAAAAACTTGGAGGTTTTACAGGCCCTAAATACCGGAAGTACCAATTCGCTTTTGATCTATGATCCCAATGGAAATCCGGTTTGTCTACAATTTGATTCTTGGCTGCTCTAGTTATATCCCTATTGCTATATTATAAACCCAAATTAAGCTGTTCTTCAAATTTTTGTAATTGAATATAAAATGTTAAGCGATAATAACATAGGAAACACATATTTAAAGAACATCAAACTATTTGTTATGCATGCTCACATGATCATCGCCTTTTAATGGCGTGTATACTTCATATGAACGAAAAAAAAGGAAGAGTGTTTTCTTTCTAATCCAATCATGTATTTACTAATTAAATTAATCATTAACTAGAATCTAGTAAGCCCCGCACAATAAAAAGAATTAATGAGAAAAGAAAATATCAATGTTTGCACATTCTTAGTTAAAGGAATGATATCCTTATTAAGTTTACATGGAGTCAATGATTATTTAATTATGTAAAAAAATATTTTAGAAATTACATTGATAACTGAAACTTCGTCTCCTTATAAATATTTAGAAATTACATTGTAAAAAAATCTTTTTCTTTACTTTCCGTTCTCCTTATAATTATCCTTCATGGTATAATTGATAAACATGCCCTTATGTAAAGCACTCTTATTCAGCTTCGTCTGATTACTTTCCTACCGATACAAACTGGTGGAGGCCATTTGTGGCCCCCACCTGTGGTCAACTATTAATAAGGTTGACAATTCAAATAGCGATACGGCGATACAATTCAAAATCCGTATGAAGTTAGCAGGTTTAGATTTATTATAAATGAATTTGGATCATAATTGAGTTGACACGATTAACACGATTAATAAATGGGTTGAGTTAAGATTGACCTTTTAACACAAAATGACACAAATTGACACGATTAACTATATGTATCATTTGTAATATAATAATATGTGATATAATATGAAAATTTATATGATATATTAAATACAAATAATGTGAATTTTAATATTTATAGGTAAAATTTATTTATTTTTCTTAAAAGAAAAGATAAATTAATTAATAAACACGTTTGATAAACATGTCGTACTTAGATTGATATTTTCTGACACGATTAATAAACGGATTGACACGGATACACTAACACCAATTGTCATCCTTACCCATTAGTTTGTCTTTGGTGGAGTAGCAGCCCGATGGGTAAAAAAAAAAAGAAAAAATCATTTGTCTTTAATTTATAGTGTATTGATTACTTTTTGTACGCCATTTGATTTTCCTCATATCCATCAAATTGCATATCAAAACAGGACGAGCTCGAAAACTGGATTGCGGGGAAAAAGTCTGCTTTTATAATTTCCACCATGGACGTATCGGAGCATGATATTAATTCTTTTGTAGAAGTCGAGAAGAAAATTAAAAAGGAGCAAACTGATCATGACATGTTTAAGATTATGTGTGGATTCCTATTTTGGAACACAAGTGCACTGGTCTGGACTGGGGTGAATGGCGAAGGTTGTGTGGAAATATGACATGCTGCGCCTTGGGACCTAATCACAAATTAATAAATGAAACTTTTTTTTTTGTTTTTTTTTGGCTGCGCCTTGGGACCTAATCACAAATTAATAAATGAAACTTTTTTTTTTTTGTTTTTTTTTTGTGTATTTGTGAATTTCCGAGCGATACACCAAAAGATCAAAAATCAGGAGAACTGTTAATTTCCTCCATGGAGGTATCCACAGGAAATGGCACTAGGTAGACGGAAAAAAAAAGATTGACGATAATATTAAGTATTAACCAGCAAAATTGTCAATATAGCGCTATAGTTATTAGCAATGATAAAATCACAAAGATCAAATTTTAGTAGATTTTAGTTAAAAATGGTGGAGCTAACTGGAACAACTCCATATCAACTCCCAATTATGGCTATCGTACTGATAATGTGATTAATTGCAGTTGACAAGTCATTGATGAATCATCGACCAGGAAAAAGCAAAGGACATTAAAATTAACTTTATAAAAGTGTTGTTACTTCTTGTATTAGTTTACGATGATGTTATTTTTTTTTTAATTTTAGTTATAATGGTAACTCTAATATTAATACTTGCCGGTGTGATATTGATCAGACAGTTTTTAATAAATTAGATAGTTAATTATAACAATTAACGAGTTTAGAATCTTATTACGTCATATCATCAAATATTTGTATTTGATAAATAAACGGTACTATTGAAAACTCGGCCATATATGTAGTTTTAGTGAACCAATTTGAGAATGAATAAAAAAACAAAAGAAGAAAAAAGACTTGATTCATCCATCAACTGCCAATTTAAGCATTTATTACTCCACTTTTCAAAAAATGTTAATTTTCATAGTCATATATACAATTTTTATTTAAAATATCCTTATTTTCATAATAAAGTGGAATATATATGGTTGTTGCTTTTTGAAAAATGAATATATATGGTTGTTGATGGTCACCTTAATGTTGTTTTCCTATTGATTAATATATATACATTGACCTTAATTTCTCAATATATATATATATATGTATATGTATATGCATTGACCAACCATGCATCGACCTAGATAAACAAAAACAAGGACTTCAAATTTGTCTAAAGATGATGTTATATACTTCTAGTCTTACTATATACAATTATGTATGCAGATCTAAATGATCTATAATGCAAAATGCCAAATAATATTTTGCCAACTAATTATCAACGAGCATGTGATTTGCTCATAAAGACAAAAAAAAACGACTTCTGATTTTTGTTCATGTTGTTGTTGTTGGGAATAGTATCATAAAAACATGAGATGTAATAATACATTTATTATTTATTTAATAAAAGAGTTTATTTATTATTTTATGTGCATATATTAATGAATATGTTATGAATATCACTAAAATTTTATGATTATTTATGTGACTTTAAATATTGTATATAAGTGTTATATGCAAGAAGATAATATTTAAGGAAATAATCAAAGCGATGTTTGTAATGAATTTTATTAAAGTTAAGAATCTTTAATTAAAACATTACTAATACATGTCATTCCCATTTAGAATGGAATGATGTTATACGCACTGTTAATAAAGTGATATATTGAATGAGTGTATTACACATAATGAGATTGTGTGAAACCGGGACACAGACACAATATGAATTTCTGATAATTTCTATTAAGTATAGAAATTCTAATTGAGTATACTGATGGTCATATATAGAATGATCTTAATCCTGAGTTATTAGCATACTCCTATTTATGAATTTGTGTCTTTTAACTTACTCAGTACGGATTTCAAGATTTCTAAATCCTATTCTTTGTATCTTGGAGACGTGGTGAAGTGGATAGCTGAGAATGTTAATATACAAGATGGAATCCATTCATTCTTGAGAAAGAAGTAGATAAATAATTTTCTTTAGGGTTAATTCGGTACTTAGACTAGTATGAGCTCCGATTCATGAATTTGTTTTATGAGTTACTGTCCATTAGAAAATCAATGGTACTCAAGGATAATTAGGGAGGTTAACAGATTTCACCTAGCTCTAATTATAAATTATTTACAGAGGACTGATCTATATGTAATGACTATATCAAATGGACCCTTTACAGTTTAGAAGTAATTTATATCTATAATTACGAGAGTCTAATTCCAAGTTTATGGAAGATCAACTTTTAGAATTAATAGAATTAATTAATTAATTAAAAAGTTTTAATTAATTATTAATTTTATTGGAGTTCAAATTATAGGTCTATGAGTCTATGTGTCGTCCTTGTAATCCTACAAGATACTAAGGGCAAAATGAGAATTTTAAAATAATGAAATTTTAAATAAAACGCTCAAGGATAATTAATTGAGAGTTAATTATAAATTAAATAATTAAAGGAGAGGGGAAATTTTATTTTCAAAATCAATTAGAAGTGAGAGATAATTATCAAGTTTTATCTTAGAGATAAAGTTTAAATTTCTTCTGAGAGTCTGACTACTACTCTATAAATAGGAGATTGTAAAAAATTAGATAACACAATTTTTGCTCTCCCTAACTTAGTGGCCGAATTTCATAGAGTGAGGAAAGGAAAAATTTTCTCTAAAATTTCACGTCATGCATGTGTTAATGCAGTTGAAAAACTTGAGTGTTTATTTACTAATCTTATTTTGTTTCTGGTGTCCCCACACACGTCTTCATAGAAACGAATGGGATACAATAACTAATAGGCAAAACCCTTAATGGGATATGTAGGACACGTACATTTATTACATTGAAATGAATGGTGAAGGCTAATGAGAAAACCAATTGGGTAATATGGGGTCAAACGAGAGGTGTTGTCCTAGTGCAATCACATGGTATTGTCTTCATGATTTCTTATATGTTAGAAATGAGCACTAAATTGTTCTTTGCAATTTTCTTGCTATTCTTCTCAACCCCACCACACCATGAGAACACAAAATTTTGTAACAGGATGTCTTAGGCGCGTCCCTATTAGAAGGGGTCACATATTTATATTAAACTTAATGCAACCCTCCATTTCAAATCTCAATCAACTTCTCTAAAGGCTATTACAGCGTTGTGTGGGACATATCGTTATAGACTCCGTTGTCGTTGCCTGCTTATTTCAGGACACACAAGATTTCTGCTTATTCATATTATTGATAGCTTTTTCATTGCCAATATAGCCACTCATTTTGTATGTTCTCTGTCAACAAGAATAAAGAAGTAAAACTCTGAATAAAGTTTCTTGTAATGTTTTTTGAGAAGACAGAGCCATGTGAACTTTGAAATGTTTGTCTGTTGCAAATTTCTAATATACCAAGTTGCCTCCACAACCACTTGTTTAGAAGCTTTAATCCTAAAGGTCAATTCCTCTCTCTCTCTCTCTCTCTCTCTCTCTCTATATATATATATGTATATAAAGGCACCGTTACCACACAACCTAATAAAATCATCACATCCACTACTAGAAAATCATTTGCAAATTCTAGTCCCGAGGCGTGTTCTAAAGCAATAACATAGAAAGAATGAAATGGCATTTGGATTGCGTGGTATTGTTCATGGTAAGAAGGCTCTTCGTCGGACACTTTCCGGCCTTAAAGAAGCAGCTCTGAAGTCTACAACCGTCCCGAAAGGCTACTTTGTGGTGTATGTTGGAGAGCACGAGAAGAAGCGGCATGTTGTACCCTTGTCGTACCTGAACGAGCCTGCATTTCGAGAACTGCTAAGTAGGGCAGAGGAAGAGTTCGGATACGAGCATCCGATGGGTGGACTCACAATTCCCTGCAGCGAAGACATCGTCATTCATCTCACTTGTCAGTATTGAATCCACACATTGAAAAAAAAAAGTCCAGAAACAGTTTTGTAGTCGTTATACTTCTCCCTTTTTTTATTTTTATTTAGATAAAGGAGGTTCTTTTGACCTCTCTCGAGAGTTGTAAATAGAAATCAATAATTTGAGAGTGAAATGAAGAGGTTTGTGATCTCTATATTATACCTCAGCAACCATTCTTTACAAGATCTGATAAGCCAAGCTGAAGAAGAATTTGGATTTAATCATCCAATGGGCGCTCTCAAGGTTCCCTGAGGAGAAGAGACTCTCATTGATCTTATTTGCTTGAATGCATCATAGGCTACATTCTAATAGCCGACAAATTATCACTAACAAAAATCATTGTTAGATTTTTGTAAGGCCTATACATATGCCAATACTACATTTTTGTGTAAAGATTTTTCCTTGGGGACTGAAAGGAAAATTTCCCTAAGAATGATATAAATGGACACTTCTGCAATTGTCTTTTAATGAATTATTTGTTTTCGGATCTTTTCTCTTTAGACCGCTGTAGAATCGATGTCAATTTTCTTTTTTCATATCTGTGGTGGCAGCAAATGTGAAACTATCCTGACAGAGATTTAAACGATCAGCATCAAATGCCCAATATTTTTGCAAGTTTCATTTAATTGTATTTGACAGAGAAGAACTTTATGTACTCTTTGACAAGGCTGTCTACATTTAGAAGCCGTGGTTCCAATGGTTATAGTTGTTAAGTTCATATGCATTTATTGTCAGTAATAATGTACTATAACCACAAGACTTTCCTTGTCGTATACCACATGTTGTCCTTTCATTTTTCTTGTCCCTGTTATGAAAGCTCCACCAAAATGGGAGTTCTTGTTGGGATATTACACGAGAATTTAGAATCGAAACTAATTTAGTAATATTACCTTTCATCAAGGCCTTTGACTTAGTTATAAGAACTAGCCTCAGAGATCAAGCAATGAGAATCGCCCGATGGATATCGAGCCATTCCTTTAAAAGAAAAACTTCATTCGTTCAAAGACTCCTAGCTAGCACATCAAATATTGTTAGTCCTCTAAGGATGAACATGCGCCTTGTCTCAGTAACATTTTGTCTCAACATGTTATTTTAGTTGATTCTCAGTAGTCATTTAATAATGGCCACTGGTGATTCCATGAACAAAGAGGTTACTTGGTTAATAGAAGATGGTAGTGTTAGGCTTCCGAGTACCTGCAATACAAATCAACACACAACCAACACAAAGAAAACACCACAGCTAGACTATTGAAGGAACCTCAACCAAAGGATCCAATTCATTAATCGTCACTGAAACAACCACGAGCTCAGCTCGGATAGGAATACAACAGTAAGAATAATTCTCTTTCGATACCCTTTCTCCTACCCCATTCTCTCCCTTAAACCCCTCAATCCGTTGTAACCTCCCTACTCTCTAGGCACTATTCCCTAGCCTAGCCTAACCGTCTAAGCCAGCTCAGCAACCTTCCTCACGCACTCACATCCCTTCCCCAACCAAAAATGTTGCGAGCTCTTCTAGAGTACGTCCGTTCATATTTATTCCTCCTAGGCTCGGTTGTAAGATTACTCCCCTCCTCAAAAGAGACTATGTCCTCAAGGTCGAAGGTAGGGAAACGGACTTGCAACTCTTTGACAACTTCCCAGGTGGCGTCCTCGATGTCCCGACCCTGCCACTTAACCAGCACCTCCTTAAAGGAATGCCCCCTTGCTTCCTCAGGCGCCCCTATAGCACGCTCTCTGGAAACAGTGGTTCGGGAACGTCCGTTGCGGTGTCGACAACAACTGGTTCCTATGAAACCGCACGCCTACCGACCACTTTTTTTAGCATGGACACATGGAAAACCGGATGCACCCTGGAACCTTCTGGTAGCCGAAGCCTGTATGCCACTGGACCTACCTTGCCGATAACCTCAAATGGACTGTGATATTTTGGGGCCAACTTGTTGCTGGGGCGCCTGGCCACGGATCCCTGCCGATAAGGTTGCAGTTTCAGCCAAGCGAGCTCACCCACCTGAAACTCTCGCTCCACCCATTTCTGATCCGCATAGCGCTTCATTCGTTCCTGAGCGCGCTCCAAGTTGCAGCGTAACTGTTTCAGCTGGTCATCTTATTCCGAGAGCTGCATATCCATTGAACCAACTGCGGTTTTGCCCCCTGTATAGCGTACCAAAGTCGGGGAGCCCGACCATATAGTGCTTGGAAGGCCGTCATGCGAGTAGCACCGTGAAAATTGGTGTTGTACCAATATTCCGCCCAGCACAACGACCTACTCCAACGCCTAGGCTGGCCACTGGTGAAACACTTTAAATATGCCTCCAAACAATGATTAAGAACTTCTGTCTGCCCATCCGTCTGAGGGTGGTATGCCGAACTCATACGTAAGGTTGTCTGTTGGAAGCGGAATAGCTCTCTCCAAAAAAGGCTAGTGAACACCTTATCCCGATCACTCCCTATACTCCGAGGTATGCCGTGAAGGCGCACCACCTCTCGACAAAACACCTATGCCACCAACTTCGCAGTGAACGGCCGCTTGAGGGCAATGAAATGCGCGAATTTAGTTAAGCGATCCACCACCACGAAAATAACCTCATGACCATTGGATTTAGGCAGAGCCTCAATGAAATCCATCGATATGTCCTCCCACACTGCCTTGGGAATGGGCAGCGGCTATAGCAACCCTGCCGAGCTCGTAGACTCCACCTTGTTTTGTTGACAAACCCCACACTCAGCCACAAACCGTTGCACATCCCCTGCTATACCTGGCCAATATACGTTAGCACTAATTCGCTTGTACGTCCTTAGAGCCCCCGCGTGGCCCCCCGTCGGAGTTGAGTGGAATTCATCCAACAACTGTTGCTTGAGTTGGGAACCCGCCGGTATTACTATCCGACCTCAATGCAACAACACCCCACTCTCCACGGCATACTGACTTTTTGGTACCTCTCCGCTGCTCAATTGATCCTTGAGGGTGCAAGGTTTAGTGTCAGCGGCTACCTCTCGCTCGACGATTGCCATGTCTAGAGATTGAGGTCCCGAGATAGCCAAGAGCTCCCCTCCCTACATCCAACTGCCTCGGCGAGACAAGGCATCAGCCACTGCGTTCTCTCTTCCTGCTCGGTAGTTTATGTCAAACTCAAATCCCATCAACTTCACCAGCCACTTCTGTTGTGCCAGGGTACTAATCCGCTGCTCCAAAAGAAAACGAAGAGACTTTTGATCGGTACGCATAACAGACTTCCTGCCCAGAAGGTAAGCTCTCCACTTTTGGATGGCCAAAACCAGGGCCATAAGTTCCCTTTCGTAAACAGACTTTGCCATTGTTCTAGGCGACAACCCCTTGCTAAAATAGGCTATTGGTTGCCCTTGCTGTGATAGTACTGCCCCTACCCCTGTCCTTGAGGCATCCGTCTCCACCTCGAACGTGTCATTGAAATCGGGTAGGGCAAGGGCTGGGGTCTCCGTCATCCGCCGTTTGAGCTCTTGGAATGCTTGCTGTGCCTCTCTAGTCTAAGCGAATTCCCCCTTTTTTAACAACTCAGTCAAGGGCCGCGCTATGGTGCCGTAATTTTTAACAAAGCGGCGGTAATATCCTATCAAACCTAGGAAGCCTCGCACCCCTTTTACTGTGGCTGGGATTGACCACTCAACCATGGCCCATATCTTTCCCGAGTCTGCCGCCACACCCTCTTGTGAAATGCAGTGCCCCAAGTATTCCACGGTATCCTGGAAAAACAAACATTTTTTCAAATTGAGCAAAAACTCCCTTCCTTCAACAACCCCAACACAGTGCGTAGATGGCCGAAATGCTCCTGTGAACTGTGGCTGTAAACTAGTATGTCATCCAGGAACACCAAAAAAAATTTCTGGAGCAGGGGTTTGAACAACTCTGTCATCATCGCCTCGAAGGTAGCCGGAGCGTTCGTAAGCCCAAAGGGCATAACTAAGAATTCATAGTGCCCCTCGTGCGTCCGAAATGCTATTTTCTTGACATCTTCCCGCCTTATGTGTATTTGGTGGTACTTGCTCTTTAGATCAAGCTTCGAAAAGCAAGATGCTCCGTGTAGCTCGTCTAACAATTCCTCGATTATAGGAATTGGGAATTTGTCCGGCACTGTCAACTTGTTCAATTCCCGGTAATCCATACAAAAACGCCAACTTCCATCATTCTTGCGAACCAATATCACCGGGTTCGAATAGGGACTCTGGCTGGGTTTAATAATTCCTGCCATGGTCATGTCTGCAATCAAACGCTCAATCTCATTCTTCTGCGCATGAGGGTAACAGTAGGGCTTGATATTCGGGGGTTTTGCACCCGAGTGAAGCACAATAGCATGATCCCCTATTCTGGACGGTGGTAGTCCTAGTTTTCCCGATAACACCGATTCATATTCCTTCTCTAACTCCTCCATATAAGTCTTAGATGCCCCATCATTCCGGGTATTGGGTGAAATAGTGCTCTGCCATTGCACCAAATAACACTCTTCCCCCTTCTTGGCCATTTTAGCCACAACGGTAATCGAGATAGGTTCTTGAGATAACGCCGACACCCTAATCAACCGATGGACCTTCCCTTCCAGCTCGAACTCTAACCACATCTGTCAAAAATTCGCCCAAAAGGTCCCCAGCTGCCGGAGCCAACCAGCCCCCAACACCACGTCTACTCCTGAAATTTCAAACGGGTATAAATCCAACTCGAACTCTAACCCAGACACTCCCAAACGCACTCCGCGACATATGCTACCAATAGTCACGCAGTAACCATCGCCTACTTTTACAGTGTATTCCGGGATAATGGACACCGGCAGCTCCAACTCCTTAACCTTGTTTCCACTGATGAATGAAGAGTTGGCCCTACTATCGATTAAGATGGTTACATGTTTTCCCTGTATGTGTCCGTACATCTTCAAGGTATCGCCCCCATTGATTCCCGCTAAAGCTTGCAACCTCAAATCCGGTTGGATGAGCAGCAATCCTTCCTCCTTCTCTGAGTTCGTACTGCCACAGCCTTCCTCTGGTGGCGCCGCCTTCTTTTCTGGTTCGTCGTTGTCTTCCATCGTGGTCTCCATTAATTTGAAGGCTCCTGTCTTGCATCGGTGTCCGCCAACCCACGGCTCACCACATCGGAAACACTCCCGATTGTCCTTCCGCCATTGTTGTTCAAGCTGTGCCGCACTCAGACCACCGCCGATCTCCCTTTGTCCCCCTACAGCAGGCTTTTAGGTCTGCTCGAATAAGGGGCGTGGGTTGTTCACCGAAGCTGAACCCCACCTGGTAGAACCCAAACGGTTTGTCATTTGGTGAGGGAAATAGAGAGGTGGTGTGTGGCATGCCCTTCCACGTGTTCCTTGAGCTTCCAATTTGTTTTCCAGCTGTAAGCCTAGTTGTATAGCCTCGTGGACGCTCCTGGGTTGCCACATCCGGACATCATCCTGCAACTCCTGGCTCAGCCCATTCAGAAAAATCCCCAGAGTGGTAGCCCGATCCATTCCCCGAATTCGGGCTGATAACTCCTGAAAACGTTCTTCGTACTCCGCCACGGAGCCCATTTGTCTTAGGCCCACCAATTGTTCTTGGACTGACCTGAACTCGTTCGGCCCAAAACGGCCCGAAGGAAAATTTCAGCTCTTCCCAGTCCATACCCGGTTCCTCCTCCATGACCCACTCGTAGTATTCCCACGCCTTGCCCACGAGGAAATCCGTAACAACCTGGACATGGGCATCGAGTCAGACCATATGAACCCAGAAGTACCGCTCCGCTCTTCACTCCCAGACCGTCCATCCCTCTCCCTCGAAGGGTGATAAATCCACCCGAGGTGGACTCCCTCCTATCCGCCTTCGTGAAGGAATCAGATTGGGAGGTTCGCCTCCAGCCCAGGGCGGTAGCTCCTCTACTAACCGGCGACAGTCGCCCCCAAAATCCCAGCGCTTAGGACCGCGCTTCCTCTCTCGGTGGTAACGGTCTCCCGTCCAGGCTGCTGGCTGCTCCCTTTCAGGTGTTGTCCCCTAATGTCGCAGCCCATCTGTACACACCGTATAGTGCGGTCGTCTGGCTGGGGGGAAGCCCGCGGACGCCAGATCCCACGATTCACTCTGTCCGGCTACGGCATGGGTCTCCTTTACTCCGGCGGCAGGGGTGGTGGCCGCCTCCTTCCCTCGTTCCTTCGACGTGGAGTCCGGCAACTCGCGATTGAAATTCTCGAAGCTCTCCTTGACGAGGTTAGTTACCAGCTGAGGTAAGCCCTTGAGACACTCCTCAATTCGATCCAAACCTGTCAACTTCTCCGTCAACTCGTCTAGCTTCTTCTCTAATTCCTCCACCCGATCACCACGAGTAACTCCCTTCGTCATCCTCCGCTCTCCTAGATCGTGGATGTCTCTGATACCAAAATGTTAGGCTTCCGAGTACCTGCAATACAAATCAACACACAACCAACACAAAGAAAACACCACAGCTAGACTACTGAAGGAACCTCAACCAAAGGATCCAATTCATTAATCGTCATTGGAACAACCACGAGCTCAGCTCGGCCAGGAATACAACAGTAAGAATAATTCTCTTTCGATACCCTTTCTCCTACCCCATTCTATCCCTTAAACCCCTCAATCCGTTGTAACCTCCCTACTCTCTAGGCACTATTCCCTAGCCTAGTCTAACCATCTAAGCCAGCTCAGCAACCTTCCTCACGCACTCACATCCCTTCCCCAAACGAAAACATTGCGAGCTCCTCTAGAGTATGTCCATTCATATTTATTCGTCCTAGGCTCGGTTGTAACAGGTAGCAAGAGATATCAAATAGCAAACAAAGCCAAAAGACAATAATCTTGGAATCTGACAAGTTGAATGTGTATTAAAAACTGAAGATGTAGAATCAGATTAGCAAATTCTAGTTTACAACTTTCTTCAGTAGTCAAACGATTTGAATCTACAAAATTGTTTCTGTTGGTCCATGTTAGGGGTACAAATTAGAATCTATTCAAAATTGAGAAGTCAAATCAACGAAGATGTCTTCTCTGCAGGGAATTGTGAGTCCACCCATCGGATGCTCATACCCGAACTCTTCCTCTGCCATGCTAAGCAACTCTTGAAATGCAGGATCATTAAGGTAGGACACAGGTACTAGGTAGCACTTCTTCTCGTTCTCTCCAACATACACCACAAAGTAGCCTTTCGGGACGGTTGTAGACTTCAGAGCTGCTTCTTTATGACCAGAAAGTGTCCGGCGGAGAGCTTTCTTACCGTTAACAATACCACGCAGTCCAAATGCCATGTTGATTTTCCTATGTTGTTGCTTTAGAGGGAGTTGAGAGACTAGAATTCTCAAATAACTTTTGCCAGTAGAGAATGTGATTACTTGATGCAGAGGTGTGGTTATGTGCCCTTTTATATACATGAATGGGTCTTTTCAAAATCATCTAAAGCTTTGAAAGAAGTGGTTGTGGAGGCAATTGGGTAGATATTCAATTTGGAAGAGACATAAGGATTTGAAACTTCACATGGCATTATCTTCCAACTCATACATATTGGAAAGTTGGTTATGATTGAGGCATACATATATCATGATCAGTCTAACCATACCAGGAGAACAACTTACAAAGGACCCCACTTGAAACCAAAGATTTTCAGCAAAGAAGAACCACATAATCTCTTCCACAATAAAAAAACTTGTTCCTGCACATATGGGTTATATACATAACGTTAAGAGAAGTCAATGAATATTATTCACACCATCAAGAATGCATGGGAATAAATGGAAAAGTAAAATCAGTTACAAGAAGACCAATTTAATTTAATTTCTACGGATTAGTTTTATAATGTTAATACGTTATCCAGTTATTTAATGAAGTCATCCTTGGGTTTGGTCAAACTACATGTCTCTTTGAGTTTGGATTTTAGTCTCTAATTTGTTATTTTAAAGACGAAATTATTCATGAACTACATAAATAAAAATTGAGATTTCCTTGATTTGTCACTCTTGAATCTACATCATATAATTCATATCAAAGTGATCTAATATGCACAAGTAATCTGAGTGTCCAAAAATACTTTCATTCCTCAACAACCGTAAAAGCTTAAAACTTTTTTTTTTTTTTTTTTTTACCAGCAAAATTCAGTGGCTAAATGCTTAATAGTATTACAAGAAAAGTTTCTGTAACAAGCAAACGTAAATTGACCTTAAAACATATGTAAAGTGGAGTGACAGAAAAAGAGACTGCAGCTTGAAAAACTGTGTTGAGCACATTCTAGTTTCATGTTACATGTTAAATATCAAGTTGGTGTAGTTTCATGTTACATGTTAAATAAAATTTCAGCTTAACAATATGTCCCTCTCATGTCTGTTATCCTTTTTTTTTTTTTTTTTTTTTTTTTTTTTTCCCTCTCATTTTTGTTTTTCCCTTTTTTTTTTTTTTTTTTTTTTTTTATATTTTTATGAATGTACACTGCTTTTTCCACCAATTTACCAATTTTTTCTTTCCTTTTAAAAAAAAAAAATAAAGTTTATGAGGAGAATGTGTTGACAACAAAAAAGTACAATTGAATTACACCCAATATATCCTGATTCTTTTTTTTTTTTTTTTTTTTTTTTTTAAATTGGAAAGACAACACCATGTGATTGCCCAACTGCCTATGTCTCTCAATAGATCCCACATCCAAATGCCTCTTCAGTCTTCACTATTCATTTTACGCCAACAATTATACATGCTTTGGCCAACATACATATTTATCATCAACTATCTTCTATATATACACATTCATAAGGATGATATCACCAGCATCCCAAGTCCACGGCCTCTTTCAATCTCAACTCTCAGAGATCTCTAATTCGTTTACACAGTTGTTCTTGTTATTCTTATTTATTTATTTTTTCTCGAAAGATTACTCGCACATAAAGTGATGGGTTTTCATTTTCCCCAAGCACTTAACGCTAAGAAACTTCTTCAGAGGTCCCTCTCAAATGCAAGCCAAGCAGGCTCACCGGTACCCGATGTCCCTAAAGGCTATTTAGCAGTCTATGTTGGTGATGATGAGAGCAAAATGACGAGGTTTGTCATCCCTTTATCACATCTCAACCAGCCTATATTCCAAGAGTTGCTAAGTCAATTAGAAGAAGAATTTGGATTTGATCATCCAATGGGAGGCCTTACTATTCCCTGCAGAGAAGATGCCTTCATAAATCTCATTGCTCGCTTGAACGCCTTGTGATTAACCAATAGATAATAAATGCAAACAGAAATCTTTGTTACAATTTTGTAAGGCAGACAATGCCAATACTTCGTAGATATTTTTCCTCAGGAACCAAGAGAGAACTTGTCCCTGAGAATGATACTTTGTAAATATTTTCTCCATTGAGTTATTTGATTGGATCTTTTATCTCTTAATTAGATTCTTATATAGAATCCTTATCCATTTTCTTGACATCTGGTATGTAAAAGATTGTAGCTTCGAGAAAAGGATGATTTTGGCGCTGATTTGAAAAATAACTCTCAATTTAAGGTACAATAAAGTGATTTCTATAGACCACCATCGGGACCAAGTTTAACTAAAATCTCTAAGTTAAGACAATTAAACTGATATTTCAGGCGGGTGACTCAACTATGGTTCCAATCTCATGCTAAAGTAGAAGGAAATAGAGATCTAATACTTGAAAACGATAAATAGAAGATAAAGTAGTGATAAGAGAGAAGAAGACAAAATTTAATATGGTTTGGTAATATGTTTATATCCACGGCCGGACAAAGAATTTTTATTATTCCGTTTGCTTTACAATGAGTGTGTACATGAATATATAATGATTTCATCAGTCCATAGAAAAAATTGTTATGAGTTGACTTCTATACTTATCTTTCTACAATTAGGCAACCAATTTCCTGTAATTATACAGGAAAATTTGTTCGCACTAAAAATACGAAAGAATATCAATTACTAATTACAATAGTCAACTTAATATTTCAACAATAATCATCTTTCACTGATAAATCTTTCAATGCATACGAGAATCATTCAAGTTGGAGGTAAGTAATGGTAAACTGAGACGTTATTTGCAAAAACTTGTAAGTGCAAAGAAATCGTTTATAGTAGGTTATGGTTAATTATTACGACAACCAAAATCTATACGTTAAGTCCCATTTCTCTCCAGATCTTGACGTTAAAGCACTATTTGATGGAAAAACAAGTAATTGATTCAAGAAAAAGTTGCAACTCGCAATATAGTATTCATCTTTATGTATCGTACTGAAGGACATTTCCCTTTTGGCCCCTAAGGAAAAATATTTACAATGTATTGGCAATTTTTCGCCTTACTTAATCGAAACAATGATTGTTGTTAGCAATTGTCATCTATTAGTGTCTACCCTTGTAAGGCATTTAAGCGGGAAATGAGATCAACAAAAGAATCCTCCGTGCAGGGAATCGTAAGGCCTCCCATCGGGTGATCAAATCCGAATTCTTGTTCAGCCTGATTTAGCAACTCTTGGAATGAGGGCTGGTTCAGGAATGACACAGGAATCACAAACCTCTTCATGTTGCTCTCAGCCCCAACAACATACACTGCCAAATAGCCTTTTGGAACATCAGCTACGAGAGCTGCAGCTGCTCGGTTTCCATTTGGAGAAGACCTCCTAAGAAGTTGCTTGGCATTAACAACACCGGGCAAACGGAAACCCATTTTTATATATAAGTTTGTTTTTAAGGACGAAGAGGAAAGAAGAACAGAGAGAAAGATCTCAAAGGACTATGTTTAAGGACTTGGGTTTCTGCTTAACCGAATATTATGGGAATATATATAGTAAATCCTGGATAGGGTATAACGGATGAGGCTTCTAATATGATGGGGTCTATCGGGAGACATTGGGATCGAGCAATCATCTGGCATTGTCTTCCAACTCATCATTATGCAATTCAAGTTCTGTGATGAGAAGACTATATGTCCAAACTGGTCTAGCTAAAAAGCCAACAAATGCACCAGTTTGTGGATTAGATGAAAAGAAAATCTATTACTTGTTTGGAGGTAACTGGAACCAAAGTGGGGTTACATTAGAGACATCAGCACCTGAAGGGCCACATGGTTATGTTCTTCAGCTCATTCTAAAGAACTCGGCAGTGACCGATCGAAACTGTATAGTAGTTGGAGTACATGATGGTCCTTCTCAAATGGATTGGCGTAAACACCACATCTTCATGTGGACCTGACCAGACAAATTTTTTATATCATTTTTTTCTTCAGGCTATATTGTCAAGTAACAAGTAGGGTATATTGTCATTAACAATATCAAAATACTCGGAGTCAGTCCACAGAGCCATTTTAAATTTGAGTAACACAGAATATCAAATTATATTGAAAAAAGAAGGATAAGTTTTAAGTCATTGAAACTACAAACCGAAATTTGAGTGGAAAAGAAAAGGACATATGTTGGTCCTGAATACATCGTATGGTTGAGCTGTATTTTAAATTTAGGTTTTAGTTGGTTATTCCAAGTATCACATGACATTCTGAAAAAAAAAAAGGTAATAATCATAATAATAATAATAAAAAGCATATCCAACTAATGAATAAAATGAATAATATTTCATTCCTGAGTTTCTGTACAAAACAACAGAAAGCTTGCAAATGAAAACATTCAGCTGTTCTCATGTTCAAAAATGGTATCTTTCATGGCGACAGAGACTTCATAATATCTTTGAGCTAGAAATCTCAGAGTCAATTCTTATAATATGGTATCTGTCATAATGCTTATAATATGCCACTTGGTATTTATAATTTTTCACGGCGAAATCTTTCTTGTTAGGAAGTCCTTGCTCTTTGGCAATAATATTCCAAATTTGTATATAAATTAAATTTAACGGGTGTAAATGGAATTTACAAAATGGGTATATAAAAAAGTCAATGATATGGTTATTTAACTGTTCTAGGGTCCCTCTTGCTCGGGGTGTAAAAATAACTCAATAGAAAAATTTTATTAGTAAAATAACTTTTTTTAAATTTTTATTTGTAAAATGACCACTTTTTACAAAGAATGATTAGGTGGTCATTCTTCATAAAAAATGAAGAATGTCATTTTGCTAATTTTACTTTGTTGGATAGTCATTCTAGCATATTTCTCGCAACAATGTCCTTTCCTCCCTTTTTATTTTACTAGTTTGTACGCGCGTGACATTTTTTTTAAAATAATTGTTATACAAATTGTTGGGAAAAAAAGCTGAGATAGAAGGAAAAAAAAAGACGAAAACAGAAAAAATGTAAAATACAGCCGAAAAATATTAAAAAGTTAAAAAAAGAAAGAAAAAATGCGAGGATAAAAAAACAAAATTCGGAAAAGAACAAAAAAAATAAAAAGGAAAAAAAAGAAACATTCACGTAAAAAAATGTTGGTTGAATGTGGGGGAGAGAAACGTAAAAATAAAAAATATATTTATTAAGGTCACATTTGGAGACAGAAAAAAAGAATAATTTATAATAGGAGAAAAAGATAAGAATGAAAAAAGGACAAGACAAAAATAGAAAAGAGAGATGAAAAAATGGAGGAAAATAAAAAATACTTAAAAAAAGCCTACTTATGAAATGTTTCGTTAGTGAGGAAGAGGGTCTTAAAAAATTTAGATAAAAATATGCATGAGAAGAAATTATTTCAACGGTGAACTAGAGAGAAAAATATATTTATGATGGTCAATTTGCATGAAGGATAAAAAAGACGAATGTATGTTAGGGGAAAAAAGATAAAAATAGAAAAAAAGGGCGACAAAAAAAATTAAGAAAGGAGAGGAACAAAGGGAAGAAAACATAAAAATCAGAGGAGGAACAAAGGGAACAAAGGTAAAAGAAAAATGAAACTTGTCGTTAATTAGGGAGGATGCATGTTTCAATCAAAACGTTTCTTTTAATTAAATATTATATATGAGTAGATAAGTACAATAGATTTATGCCAAAGAGATTTTGATAATACAAATTTCATATTCGAAAGAAAAAGAGAAAAAAAATAATATAGCAGCAATTTACCTAAATGAGTAAGAGATACGAAATTGCTCAGGGGTACACATATAAGAAGAAAAAGATATTTACATGGACACACTTGAAGAAAAAATTATTTTAATGGAAAACAATAATAATAAATTCATAAAAGTCACATTCAATAAATTATATTTTAGATAACTGCAAGAAAAACAAACTAGGCCTCGTTCATTTCACCGATTCGAGTTTTCAGTTTTAGGTTTCTACAGTAAAAATCTCTCAAAAAATGTCACATCTAACTTTTTCTGCTACAGTGAAAAGCTCTTAAAAAATGTCACATCTCAGCTCGAATTGAAAACTCGAATCCGTGAAGTGAACGAGGCCTAAGGAAAAATGATAAAGAAGATATTAAAATATATAAAATATTTGGGGGAATTGGGAAAGCAACCCGAAAGGCTGAAAAATGAAAAGAAATAAAAAAAATAAAGATAAAGAAATGCAAATAAAAAAGCTAGGAGCGCCAAAAAAAAAAAAAAAAGAAAAAGAAAAGACCAAAAAAAGGAATGAAATAGAAAACACAAAAAAAAGAAAGAAAAATAGGGGAGAGGAAACGGACAAAGCGTTTCCTCCGTTTCACTCGCCTTCCCACAGAAAACGGGTTCTCTTTTAGGGTGCGTTTAGTTGCAATAGGAGAATGTAAATGTGAATGATAATAGAATAAAATGAAAAGAAAAGATGATTTATTTATTTGGTTCTACTTTTACAAATGTAATGAAATGAGATATGAATATTTTCATGTTGATAAAATTACCCCTCATGCTAATATAACTCATATCATATATATTAATATAATCATTTAATAATTAATATTATAAGATTTATTATTATAATACAATCATAATATATAATATAATAAAATAATGATATTGTGATTATTTTATATTATAATGTTACAACTATACTATATTATATTATTAGAAATATAGTATAATTATAAAATGTAATAATATAATATAACATATTATAATTATAATATGTAATATAGTATATTATCATTTCTAATTATAGTATATTATCTATTATAATATAAATTTATATTGTAATTATATAAATACTTAATTATAATATTATAAAATATAA